ACCAGAAAATTGAAAACTTATTTGAAAAAATAATGGAGAACTTCCCCAATTTGGCAAAGGAAATAGACTTCCAGGAAATCCAGGAAGCTCAGAGAGTCCCAAAGAAGTTGGACCCAAGGAGGAACACACCAAGGCACATCATCATTACATTAGCCAAGATTAAAATGAAGGAGAGAATCCTAGAAGCAGCAAGAGATAAGGGGACTGTCACCTACAAAGGAGTTCCCATCAGACTGTCAGCGGATTTCTCAAAAGAGACCTTACAGGCAAGAAGGGGCTGGAAAGAAGTATTCTAAGTCATGAAAGACTAGGACCTACATCCAGCAAAGCTTTTATTTAGAATGGAAGGGCAGATAAAATGCTTCTCCGGTAAGGTCAAGTTCAAGGAGTTCATCATCAGCAAGCCCGTATTATATAGAATGTTAAAGGGATTTATCTAAGAAAAAGAAGATAAGAAATATGAACAGTAAAATGACAACAAACTCATAACTATCAACAAGTGAACCTAAAAACAAAACAAAAACAAAAGCAAACTAAGCAAATGACTAGAACAGGAACAGAATCACAGAAATGGAGATCACATGGAGGGCTATCAACAGGGGAGTGGGAGGGGGAGTGGGGGAAGGTACAGAGAATAAGTAGCATAGATGGTGGGTAGAAAATAGACAGGGGGAGGGTAAGAATAGTACAGGAAATGTAGAAGCCAAAGAACTTATATGTATGACACATGGACATGAACTAAAGCAGGGAATGTGGGTGGGAGGGGCTGTGCAGGGTGGAGGGGAATAAAAGGGGGGAATAGGACAACTGTAATAGCATAATCAATAAAATACATTTTAAAAGATTCTTTATCTGTAATCTTGGGTAACTTAATGATGACATGCCTTGGTGTGTTCCTCCTTGGGTCCAACTTCTTTGGGACTGAGCATTTTGGACTTCCTGGAAGTTTATTTCCTTTGACAGGTTGGGGAAGTTTTCCTACATTATTTGTTCAAATAAGTTTTTAACTTCTTGCTCTTGTTCTTCTCCTTCCAGCACCCCTATGAGTCTGATGTTAGAGTGCTTAAATTGTCCCAGAGTTTCCTAATCCTCTCCTTCTATTTTTGAATTCGTGTTTCTTCATTCTGTTCCAGTTTGATGTTTATTTCTTCCTACTGTTTCATATCACTGATGTGAGTTCTGGGTTCTTCCCCTTCACTGTTGGTTCTGTGTATATTTTGTTAGATTTCACTTGAGTAGCCTTCATTTCTTCCTGCATTTTGTGACCAAACTCAATCAGTTCTGTATGCATCCTGATAACCAGTGTTTTGAACTCCGCATCAGATAGGTTGGCTATCTCCTTGTTGCTTAGCTCTTTTTATTGAGTTTTGAGCTGTTCTTTCATTTGGACCATATTTCTTTGTCTTGGCGCACCAGTCTGGGTGAATGTCTCTTTGACTCCTTGGTTGTCAGAGTTCCATGCAGTTTGATTTTCTGGCGTTTCTGGTTGTTTGTTTTTAGATTGGTTGTTATCATACTTTTGGTTGTGTGAGGAAGTGAATAATTTCTACCTATGCCTCCATCTTGTCCAGAACTCCTCTTCACATTTTTTGCCCATCCCTCCAACTTCCTCCCATCTGGCAACCATCAAAATGTTCTCTGTATCTATGAGTTTGTTTCTCTTCTACTTGTTCATTTGTTTATGTTTTTTTTTAATTCCACATGTAAACTAAATCATCTGGCAAAATTTTATTTCACTTGACAAAATACTATCTAGTCCATCCATGTTGCAGATGGCAAGGTTTCATTTTTTTATGGCCAAAATATATTCCATTGTATATAGGTACCACTTCTTTTTTTTTAAATACATTTTATTGATTATGCCATTACAGTTGTCCCATTCCCCCCTTCATTCCCCTCCACCCTGGACACCCCATGCCCTACCATTTCCCCCTTTAGTTTATGTCCATGTGTTACAAGTTCTTTAGATTCTATATTTCCCATACTATTCTTGCCCTCTCCCTGTCTATTTTCTACCTACCATCTGTGCTACTTATTCTCTGTACCTTCTCACCCCTTCTCCTCCTCCCATTCCCCTGTTGATAACCCTCCATGTGATCTTCATTTCTATGGTTCACTCCTGATCTAGCTTTTGTTTTAGGTGTGGTTGTTAATAACTGTGAGTTTGCTGTACTTTACTGTTCATATTTTTATCTTCTTTTTCTTATATAAGTCCCTTTAACATTTCATATAATAATGGCTTGGTGATGATGAACTCGTTGAATTTGACCTTATCTGAGAAGCACTTTACCTGCCCTTCCATTCTGAATGAAAGCTTTGCTGGATAGAGCAATCTTGGATGTAGGTCTTTGGATTTCATGACTTGGAATACTTCTTTCCAGCCCTTTCTTGCCTGCAAGGTGTCTTTTGAGAAATCCACTGACAGTCTGATGGGAACTCCTTTGTAGGTGACTGTCCCCTTATCTCTTGCTGCTTCTAGAATTCTCTCCTTCATTTTAATCTTGGCTAGTGTAATGATGATGTGCCTTGGTGTGTTCCTTCTTGGGTCCAACTTCTTTGGGACTCTCTGAGCTTCCTGTATTTCCTGGAAGTCTATTTCCTTTGCCAGATCGGGGAAGTTCTCCTTTATTATTTGTTCAAATAAGTTTTCCACTCGTGGCTGTTCCTCTTCCCCTTCTGGTACCCTTATAATTCGGATGTTGGAACATTTAAAGATATCCTGGAGGTTCCTAAGCCTCTCCTCATTTTTTTGAATTCCTGTTTCTTCATTCTTTTTGGTTTGGTTATTTTGTTCCTTCTGGTCCACTCTCTTGATTTGAGTCCCAGTTTCCTTCCCATCACTATTGGTTTCCTGTGCATTTTCCTTCATTTTAATTAGTATAGCCTTCATATGTTCCTCTAATTTGTGACTAAAATCAACCAGTTCTGTGAGCATCCTGATTATTAGTGTTTTGAACTGTAGGCACCACTTCTTTATCCATTTATCTGTTGATGGACACTTAGGTTGCTTCTACATCTTGGCTATTGTAAAGAATGCTGCAATGAACGTAATGGAAGTACTGTCTTTTGCTGCGCATAATGTGCAGTTTTTTGCCCACATTTTTGAGGGAAAAATAAGGATGCACATTATACATGAGTATAATCATTATATATACCAATTACATACCATGGGCATAATTGATATAATAATCTTGTGTATAAGGTGCACAGAAATGTAGGCATGCATTATACAAGACAAAATATGGTATATATCTTTTTGATTTAGTGTTTTGGGTTTCTTTGGATAAATACCCAGAAATGGAATTGCTGTGTCCTCCTTTGTCTCCTGTTATTTAGCCTTCATTTTATAGTTTATTTTGTTGGTATAGGTATGGATGCCCTAGCTTTTGTTTATTTCCATTTTCATGAAATGCCTTTTCCCATCCATTGACTTTCAGTTTGTTTGTGTCTTTTGATCTGAAGACAGTCTCTTGTAGATAGCATATGTAAAGGTCTTGTTTTGTTATCCACTCATCCATCATATGTCTTTAGATTGGAGCATTTAATACATCTGCATTTAAAGTAATTGTTGATAGATATATATTGCCATTATTATTCATATTTAATCTTTTTTCTTCTACTTCTTAAAGAAGACCCTTTACCATTTTATGAAATACTGGTTTGGTAGTGACGAACTCCTTTAGCGTTCTTCTGGATGGAAAACACTTTATCTGTCCTTTGATTCTAAATGATAGCTCCACTGGGTAATTTTGGTTGTTGGTTTTTGCTTTTCATCATTTTGAATATTTTGTGACAGTCCCTTGTGGTCTGCAGTTTCCACTGAGAAGTCAGTTGACATTATTATGGGAGCTGCTTTGTAGGTAACTATCCGCTTTTCTTTTGCTGATTTTAAGATTCTCTCCTTAACATTTGACATTTTAATCATGATGTGTCTTGGAGTGGGCCTCTTTGGGTTCATTTTGTTTGATACTCTCTGTGCTTCCTGAACTTTTATGTCTCGTTCCTTCACAGCTTAGAAAAGTTTTCTGTAATTATATTTTAAACTAGGTTTTTTCATTTCTTTTTTTAATATATAATCTACTTTCTTTTTTTATTGTTGTTCTGTCACAGTTGTCCCAATTGTCCCCTGTTGCTCTCCCTTGCCCTGCCCACTCCTGACTCCCACAGTCAATCTCCACCCTGTTGTCCATGTTCATAGATCAGTTTCCAATTTATTTCTTTCTATTTTAAATCCTTACCTGAGTATATATTTATTGATCTTAGAGAGAGAAGAAAAGAGAGAGGAGGGAGAGAGTGAGAGAGAGAGAAACATCAGTGGGTCAGTTGCCTCCCATATATGCCCTGACCAGGGACCGAACCCGCAACCCAGGCATGTGCCTTTACTGGGAATGGAACTCTCAACCTTTTGTCGTAGGGGACTATGCTCCCATCAACAAAGCCACCTGGCCAGGGCACAAACTAAATTCTTTAATCTAGTTTCCCAAATATGGAAAGGGCTTTTGCAAGTCAATAAGGAAAATATAAAAGGATATAAGCCTGTATTTCCTAGAAGGAAAAATAAATGGTTCACTCTTATTTTTACTAACATGCAAATTGAAACTACACTGAGACCCCTGGTCAGTGTGGCTCAGTTGGTTGGAGCCTCATCTCATAACTGAAAGTTTGCGAGTTTAATTCTCTATCATGGCACATGCTTAGGTTGCCAGTTCAATCCCTGGTCAGGATGTGTATGGGAAGCAGCCATAGATGTTTCTCTCTCACATCAATGTTTCTCTCTCTCCCTTTCTCTCTAAAGCAATGAAAGTAAAAGTCTTCATGTGAGAATAAAACTATGTTGAGATGTCACTTTTAACAGATTGGCAAAGTTCAAAAAGTTTAATAATACAGTGTTATAATGTGTATGTAGTAAGAGGTACTCTCATTTTTGTTTTTGCAAGTTTGTATCAGTCCAATCTCTATTAAGTACAATTTGCCGATTTTCATAGAATTACAAGTGCAAATTCATTTGGATCAATAATCACATTTATTTGTATTTGTTACATATAGTCTTAAGCATGTTGAGAATGACAGTGATTACTAGAAATAAAACTATAAAACTTTAAAAATGTAAGAAGAAACAGGACACACTTCCGGCCAAGATGGAGGCATAGGTGGAAACACTGTGCCTCCTTGCACAACCAAGTTTAAAGACAACAAAGTTTTAGTAACAAAAGTGCAATCCAAATACAGAAAATTGAACTGTACGGAAGTCCGACAACAACGAACCAGTCAGCCAGACTGGTAAGAGGGGTGGAGTCAGTGGGTGGCAGAGTGGGGTTGTGCTGGAAAAAGTGGCCAGACCAACCCAGGCACGCAGGTGGAGGTTGGCAGATCCCAGGTATCTGGTGGCAACAGGCGGACCCAGTGGGGGCACAAGGCAGCTGGCTGACTGCAGTCACATGTCCACATGCAGATAAACCAGGCGAAGGAGCAAGCAGTAAGACAGACCTCGCAGGCTAGGGCCCCAGCGAAGGGAATTAAAGCCTAAAAGCACCAACTGGAAAAACTTTTGGGGTTGAGGTGCTGGGAGAAGCTCCCAGGCTCACGGAGAGTTTGTGGGAGAGACCCACAGGGTCCTGGAGGGTGCACAAGCTCACACACCTGGGAACCACCACCAGAAGGGCTCAACTTGCTTGTGGGAAGTGGCAGAGGGGACAGAAATCTGAGAGAGAGCAGAACAAATGTCATTGCCCCTCTCTGACCCCACCCCCACATACAGCATCACAACCCAGCAACCTGGGTTGCCCTGCCCTGGTGAATACCTAAGGCTCCACCCCTCATACATAATAGGTGCAAACAGACCAAAACATTATGGCTCAAAAACAGCTCAAAGCCCCAGAGCCAATAAATCTAAGCGACCAAGACATAGTTAACCTTTCAGATGCACAGTTCAAAATACTGGTGATCAGGATGCTCACAGAATTGGTTGATTTTAGCCACAAATTAGAGGAACAAATGAAGGCTAAACTAATTGAAATGAAGGGAAATGCTCAGGAAATGAGTAGTGATAGAAAGGAAACTGGGACTCAAATTAAGGGTGTGGACCAGAAAGAAGAAAAAAAATGACCAAACAGAAAAAAATGAAGAAACAATAATTCAAAGAAAATGAGGAGAGGCTTAGGAACTTCCAGGACAATTTAAACATTCCAACATCTGAATTATAGGGGTATCAGAAGGGGAAAAGGAACAGCCACCAGTGGAAAACTTATTTGAACAAATAATAAAGGAGAACTTCCCTGATCTGGCAAAGGAAATAGACTGCCAGGAAATCCAGGAAGCTCAGAGAGTCCAAAGAAGTTGGACCCAAGGAGGAACATACCAAGGCATATCGTAATTACATTAGCCAAGATTAAAATGAAGGAGAGAATCCTAGAAGCAGCAAGAGATAAGCGGACAGTCACCTACAAAGGAGTTCCCATCAGACTGTCAGCTGATTTCTCAAAAGAGACCTTACAGGCAAGAAGGGGCTGGAAAGAAGTATTTCAAGTCATGAAATGCAAGGACCTACATCCAAGATTGCTCTATCCAGCAAAGCTTTCATTTAGAATGGAAGGGCAGATAAAGTGCTTCTCAGATAAGGTCAAGTTCAATGAGTTCATCATCAGTAAGCCCTTATTATATGGAATGTTAAAGGGATTTATCTAAGAAAAAGAAGATAAAAATATGAACAGTAAAATGACAGCAAACTCACAGTTATTAACCACACCTGTAACAAAAACAAACAATTAGAATAGAAACAGAACCACAGAAATGGAGATTACAAGGAGGGATAGCAACAGGGGTGGGAGAAGGAGAAGGGGAGACAGGTAGACAGAATAAGTAAAGAGCTAAGGGGAAAGTCACCTACAAAGGAGTTCCCATCAGACTGTCAGCTGATTTCTCAAAAGAGACCTTACAGGCAAGAAGGGGCTAGAAACAAGTGTTCCAAGTCATGAAATCCAAAGACCTACATCCAAGATTGATCTATCCAGCAAAGCTTTCATTTAGAATGGAAGGGCAGATAAAGTGCTTCTCAGATAAGATCAAATTCAAGGAGTTTATCATCACCAAGCCCTTATTATATGAAATGTTAAAGAGACTTACCTAAGGAAAAGAAGATAAAAAAGATGAACAGTGAAAGGACAGCAAACTCACAGTTACTAAGAACCACACCTAAAACAAAAATAAACTAACAGGACAGCTAGATTAGGAGCAGAACTATAGAAATGAAGATCACATGGATGGTTAGCAACAGGGGAGTGGGAGAAGGAGAAGGAGGGAGAAGATACAGAAAATAAGTAGCATAGACGGTAGGCAGAAAATAGATAAGGGGAGGGCAAGAATAGTATGGGAAATATAGAATCTAAAGAACTTGAGACACGTGGTCATAAACTAAAGGGGGGGGAATGGTGGGGAGGGGGTGTACAGGGTGGAGGGGAATGAAGGGGAGAAATAGAACTGTAATGGCATAATCAATAAAATATATTTTAAAAATACTAAATAAAATTTAAAAAATTAAAAACTGAAAAAGAAAAGAAAAAAAAGATCAGCCCTGGCTGGTATAGTTCAGTGGATTGAGCATGGGCTGTGAACCAAAGGGTTACCAGTTCAGTTCCCAGTCAGGGTACATGCCTGGGATGTGGGCCAGGTCCCCAGTGGGTGCCATGTGAGAGGCAACCACACACTGATGGTTCTCTCTCTCTTTCTCCTTCCCTTCCCCTCTTTCTAAAAATAAAGAATATTAAAAAATTAAAAAAAATTATAACCAATACAAAAAGAAAGTGAAAACTTAAAAAAAATTCAAATAGTAGGTGTTTGTAGGAGACCATTCTGTGTGGCATGGGCCCAGTTCCCTGTGGAAAGCAAGGTCCGATGTACAGAACCCATGCCCACGGATAGGTTCTCCCATGGGGAATCAGGCCTGCACTGTAGCTAGACTGCTATGAGACTTGCTTTTGTTAAAACTCCCTCACCCTGAATTAAGGTGGAAAACATTTACTGCAAAGTAACTTGCTAAAATCCATGCTAAACCTTCCCAGGATGAGTGTAACTTGTTCAACCACTTTTCCCTTTTAATTTGCAAATATTGTTCTTCTGTGATGTGATTAGCAGCAGCATCTCCTTTGTTTCTGTAAAAGGTAACCACCTAAAGCCATCCTGGGCATAGTAAATGAGGACCATTATGTAATGAGCCCAGAAAAAGAAATAAAGGCCTGTTATGGTGGAGGCCACGGCTTTTTCTCCCCTTGAGAGAAAAGCCATGTTGTCTCTTTTCCTCCACAGGACTCAGTAGTCCATGTGAATGTCTCATGCCTCATTCACAATGTGGCAGACCCCAAGAGCCAGGGTCTGCATCAGGGGTTATTTACCTTCTCATTTATCTTTTACAGAAAAATCACTTCTCAATAGGTGCTATTATTGAAATACCATACATGATTTTACTTTTATTTTATTTTTGAGGAAACCCAAAATTTGTTTTGATGGCCTTTCTTCTCCCTTCATTGCTTCTGAAACTCTGAGTCTAGTTTTATTTTATTTTAAAAATTATTTATTTATTTTAGACAGCAGGGAAGGAGGAAGAAAGAGAGGGAGAAAAACATCAATGTGTGCTTCCCTCTCATGCATCCCTCACCTGGAGCTTGACCTGGTCCACAACCCAGGCATGCGCCCTGACTAGGAATATGAACCAACACCCCTCTGGTTCACAGGCCAGTTCTTAATCTACTGAGCCACACCAGCCAGGGCTGAGTCTAGTTTTAGAGCTGAAATTATCGCTGCTAGGAGTGCTCCACATCGTATTGCTTTCTATCTGAGAACTAGATACAAAGTAGAATATCTGAATCGAAACAAAATACAACTGGTTCAGAAAACCAAATAATACCTAGGCCCTGTTTTCCTGGTTGAAACTTTTGACTGATTGAATCGGAACTTCAGACTGTTTGATTGGTTGGTTGAAAAGTTAATACTTATCAGCAGTTTTTAACTAAGGGCAGTTTTGCCCTTGAGGGTCACTTGAAATATCTGGAGATACAGTATTTGTAGTTTTCAAAAACTACAAATTGGGGTATTGATGACATTTGGTGAATGGAGGCCAGGGAGGCTGCTAAAAACCCCACAATGCACAGGGCACAGGACAGTATCCCCACCACAAATAATTATCTAGTCCAGAATGTTAATGGTGTGGGTGTTGAGAAACACTTATATAGAATTAAGATTAATATTCAGCATTCTTGTTCTGAAAGAATTTAAAGATACACACAGCTTTCATATTTTCTTCTGCCAAGAAAATTAGCAATGGCCCTTGTGTTTTTGGAAATGGGCCTCTGCAATCACCTCCCACCCCTACTCAGACTTTATAGCTGCTTAGGGAAAGAAAATAAAATTGGCAGCAGTTGGCAGGGCAGGTGATGCAAAGGCACTGTCTTAGAACCGGTGTGGAAGGACACGCCTGCTCTGAGTGTGGAGCTCAATTTTTCCTCAGTTGGTTTCCTTGAAGATGGCTATACTGGTCATCTTCCCGATCCTTGAGGGGCTGAAAAGGACAGCACAGTCATGAGCTCATTTCCCCCATCCTTTAGGAATTAATTCGATGCATGTATATTGAGTGTTTTTTATGTGCAAGGCTTTGAAGTGGTTGCTTAGTGGCCCTGGGGGCAGACAGGAGACAAGAAGATGAAGGCTCTGTATATACTTTCCCTCTCAGTGTACTCTTTAATTTTTCTCACTAGATCTTGACCTCAATCTTGCTCAACCTTCTCCTTATTTCATTCATTCTACCCAAAGTGATAAACATGCCATCATCTGGTATGTTCTAAGCAGTTTCTTATCTATATAGTATCTTCCAGATAACTTGCCCCCTGCCCCCAAAAGTTTTAAATCACCACTAATTGTAGCAATGTCTGTCATTACCCAATCCATTACCTGGTAGAGCTGGTCATTGGATAACAGAGTCTGCTTGTCTGAAGCTGCACAAAAGATAAACAAAACACACACACACAAGGTAGAATGGATAATAAATTTGATTATATTCATGCAATGGAGTACTAAATAGCAATCAGAATTAGTGAAATACACCTACATACAAGAATACTGATGGTTGTCACAAGTATATTGTTGATTAAAAAAAGCTACACACGAGTACTTACTGTATGAGTCTATGTTATAGAAGGAATAAAAACAGGCAAGATTAATCAATGTTAGAAGACAGGACAGTGCTCGCTTTTGAAGATAGGTAGAGTCTGGAAATGACCACAAGGGGGACGTCTAAGGTACTGGTAATATTATTCTTTTTTTGGGGTAATATTCTTCTTAAACTGGGTGCTGGCTTAAGGGGTAAGCTTGATTGTTTAACTTTTTTTAAAAAAGAGTTTATTTATTTTATTTTTAAAGAGAGGGAAAGGGAGGGAGAAAGAGGAGGAGAGAAACATCAATGTGTGGTTGCCTCTCATGCCCCCCCAACCAAGGACCTGGCCTACAACCCAGGCATGTGCCCTGACTGGGAATCAAACTGGGCAGCCTTTGGTTTGTAGGCTAGCGCTCAATCCACTAAGCCACACCACTTAGTGCTATTTTTTTTTGAGCTGTATGCTTGTGATTCATGCGCTTTTCTGTATGTATGTTCTACTTTAGAGTTGTTTTTTTAAACAGAGAGGGAGTTGAATCTTGGGACAGGTAGCTATGCTGTGAAAACACCAAGTGTCCTTTTCTCCTGACTACAGAGAGCCTCACCCAACCATGCACATTAACAATACGTGCCAACTCAATCTCTTCTCTTGGGACTCTTTTGATACGAAGAAAGCTGAGGGGTCTCATATCTCATCTAAGAACATCTTTTACCTCTTGATTGGCGAACTCCATCCTGTCCAGCAATGAAGTACACCCCAACAGCAAGGAAAAAAATGCTGATGATTTCCGCGAAGACAAAACCAGACATGGTGGATGCATTCAACTCAATGCAGTTCTGACACACTGTGAGGAAAGGGAGGGACAAGCTTACTTCAGGGTGTGAAAGTTGCTTTTCTGAATATTTTTCTCCTGCCACCAGCAATAATGCCTTTGTCTAGTCAGGACAACAAGCTCCTCCCTCTGTGGGTTGTACAACAAAGGAATTGTCTGGGAAGATCCTTGGGCTAAGAATGCAATGCTTCTTGGTGTTCCTCTCTCCTTCAGGAGTCCTGTGGAAGTCCATGTAGTCTTATTACCAGGAACTATGTGAAACAGAAGAAAGACTAGATCTTCTTCTCCATGTTCAACTGCCTTCAACATCTCACTGCTATTCACCTTGTAATCTCCTGTTTCCTCTACACACCCTAACTCAGATTGTATTAGTTGCTGACTGCTCCAATACAGGAGGCCTACCCAAAGGTAAACCAGGTTTTCAGGACTGGCTATGTTTTACCAAGAAGCTGGGGGGACCTGTCTTGTTATATAATCAAAAAGAGGCAAGCTGCGGTTAAGAGAATTGGCTGTTTAGCATCTATTTTATCACTCATTCTGGACAGAAAATCACCAACAGCAAATACAGCTTAATTTCACAACAAACAAACCAGAGAGGATCACATACTTCTATAATACACTTGGAGTATAGTAGAATTGTTCTTTGATCCTTGACACAAGTATGTCCCTCGGGGGTCCTTCAAACCACTTCCCAGTTTCCATGTATTTCCATTTGTCATTATTTCCTTCCCATCTTTAAACCATTTTATATTTTGATCTTTCAAGTTACAAGTCAGAAGTACTGAATCATCTTCTTGATTTTCATCCACTGCTAGTGTTGGTTCTCCTAAAAGGGGAAAAGCCATGCTCTGTTAAGGATCTTGCCTTCTTCTCTCTACCCCAAGGTATCAGAAGAAGATCATTATGGCAGTGCTTCTACAACTTTAATGTGTCCATGAATCACATGGGGATGTAGTTAGAATTTCAGGTTCTAATTTAATGATTCTGGGGAGGGACTGAGATTCTGTATTTCTAACATGCTTCCAGGTTATATCAATGCTTTTGGTTCATGGGTAACATTTTGAGTAGTTCCTAGCTGCTAGCGTGCTGTTGTTTCTCCTCCAAGAATTAGACAGTTAATTGCTAGTCATGACTGGCCAGTGATTTGGTTGACAGTGGAGAGATTTTTCTATTTATCACACATTATCCTAGAACCACAGTTGTAGGAAACCATATTTCCATAATTTCCTCAGATTTTGAGCATAGAAAGAAGCCATTTCCCTACCTTGTTTCCACTGGGCAATAGTACCTGTAGGAACAGAAGAGAGACAGAGGATCATCAGCTGGGTGGAATTATTCAGATGCCCTGAGGTATCATTTACATGGTCATTTGAGGCCAAGATGGAGAGAGGTCCTAGTCCACAGGAATAATGGTATCCAGACCTATGTCCCTGAACTGTTAACATAAATCACTAAATTAAATTCAGGGTGTTGTATGATAAAGAATTTGTCAGATCTCTGTCATGAATTCCTGGGAGGGAGTTTCTCAACCCTTGGAATTTCAAGAGTGCTTTTATTATTCTTACTGGGCCCTAGAGCCATATATGTGTGTATACTAATGAGATGTTTAAGGATGAGGGCTGGTCAAGACCAGCCTCATGATTAGAGAATTGGGACTTTGTGCTCTGGGAGGGGAGGGCCTCTGGAGACTGATTTAGTCACATGGCCAATGATTCAATTAATCGTGACTATGTAATGAAACTCAGTGGAGATTCTTGGTTGGTGAAGACCAACCAATGTGTTAGGAAGGGGATATATTCTAATTCTAAACGGGGAGGCACAAATCCCACCCTACTGCTGATTTTATTTTTCTTTTAAAAATATTTTCTCTCACCCTGGCTGGTGTAGCTCAGTGGATTGAGCACGGGCCTGTGAACCAAAGAATTGTGGTTTGATTCCCAGTCAGTGCACATGCCTGGGTTGCAGGCCCGTCCCCAGCAGGGTCGCATGAGAGGCAACCATACATTGATATTTCTCTCCCTCTCTCCTTCCCTTCCCCTATAAAGATAAATAAAATCTTTAAAAAATGTTCTCTCATTCTGTGAGTTGACTTTTTAAAAAGATTATTGATTTATTCTAAGAGAGATGGGAAGGGAAGGAGAAAGGGAGAGGAACATTGATGTGTGGTTGCCTCTCATGCATTCCCTACTGAGGCCATGGCCTACAACCCCGGCATGTGCCCTGACTGGGAATAGAACCTTCAACTCTTTGGTTTGTAGGCTGGTACTCAATCCACTAAGCCATACCAGTCAGGGCTGATATTATTTTATTTTTAACTCATAGTTTCTGTTTTTTCATTTTAAAAATACATTTTATTGATTATACTATTACAACTGTAACAGTTGTAATAACATAATCAATGCCATTTTTTCTCCCCTTTATTCCACTCTCCCCTTCACCCCCCATCACAATCATTCCCCCACCTTAGTTCATGTTTATGGGTTGTACATGTAAGTTCTTTGTCTTCTTCATTTCTCATACTCTTCTTAATCTTGCTCTGTATATTATGTACCTATCATTTATGCTTTTTATTCCCTGTACCTTTTCCCCCGTTCTCCCCCTCCCCTTCACCACTGATAACCCTCCATCTGATCTCCATTTCTGTTAAACTGTTCCTGTTCTCATTGTTTGCTTAGTTCATTTTTGGTTTTGATTTTTTTAGGTTCAGTTGTTGATAGTTGTGACTTTCTTATCATTTTACTGTTCATATTTTTGATCATCTTCTTTTTCTTAGATAAGTCCCTTTAACACTTCACAAAACAAGGGTTTGGTGATGATGAACTCCTTTAACATTAACATTACTTTATCTGGGAAGCACTTTATCTGCCCTTCCATTCTAAATGATATCTTTGCTGGATAGAGTCATCTTGGATGTAGGTCCTTGCCTTTCATGACTTGGAATACTTCTTTCCAGCCCCTTCTTGCCTGCAAAGTTTCTTTGGAGAAATCAGCTGATAGCCTATGGGAATTCCTTTGTAGGTACCCCTATACTTTCCTCTTGCTGCTTTTAAGATTCTCTCCTTATCTTTCATCTTGGATAATGTAATTATGATGTGCTCTGGTGTGTTCCTCCTTGGGTCCAAATTCTTTAAGACTCTCTGAGCTTCCTGGACTTCCTGGAAATCTATTTCCTTTGCCAGATTGGGGATGTTTTCCTTCATTATTTGTTCAAATAAGTTTTCAATTTCTTGCTCTTCCTCTTCTCCTTCTGGAAGCCCTAACATTTGGGTGTTGGAACATTTGAAGTTGTCCCAGAGATTCCTAAGCCTCTCCTCATTTTTTTGAATTCTTGTTTTTTCATTCTGTTTCAGTTGAATGCTTATTTCTTCCTTTTGTTCCAAATCATTGATTTGAGTCCCACTTCTCCCCCCTCACTGTTGGTTTCCTGTACATTTTCCTTTATTTCACTTTGTATAGCCTTCACTTTTTCCTCTATTTTGTGACCATACTCAACCATGTGTGTGAGCACCCTGATTACCAGTGTTTTGAACTGTGCATCTCATAGGTTGGCTATCTCCTCACCACTTAGTTGTATTTTTTCTGGAGCTTTGATCTGTTCTTTCACTTGGGAGATATATATATATATATTCTTTAAAGGCCTGTTACATAGTAAGGGGGAGAGCCTTAGGTATTAGCCAGGGCTGGGCAACCCACATCACTGTGTTGTGGCACTGCATGTGGGGGAGGGGTCTGAGAGGAAAAGCCAGTTGCACAACTCTCAACAGACTTTCAGTCATTTTCTCCACTACCTGCAAGCAAATCGGGCCCTTCTGGTGCTAATTTCTGGGTGGGTAGTTTTGTGTACATTCTAGGACTCCGTGGGTCTCTCCAATAAACTGTCCTGTGAAGCTGGGAATTTCTCCTGCTAACTGAACTCCCACAGGTATTTTTCAGTCAGAGGTTTTGAGGCCTTATTTCTGGGCACTGGAAGCCTGGATTACAGAGCCTGTCTCCCTCCCTAGTTGTTTCTTCGGTTTATCCACATGCAAATTTGGGACAGCCTGCTATGCCAGCTGCCACCTTGCCTACCCTGGTCCTCTTGCTGTCACCCCCATTGTCCATCTCCACCCCTCCTACTGGTCTGATGAATGTTTCTTCTTTAACTTCTTGGTTGTTGGACTTCCATACAGTTCAACTTTATAGCAGTTCTGGTTATTTTTTTACTATAAATTTGTTGTTGTCCTTCTTTCGTTTGTGTGAGGAGGCAAAGTGTATCTACCTACACCTTCATCTTGGCCAGAAGTCTGATTTTGTTTTTTTGTAATAAAATTGTGATAGTGTGTATAGTACTTTCCTGAGTTGTTCTATCAAATTAACAGACTTAAGGGGGTTGTGGGAACCATCCAGATTTGTATCCAGTTCATCAGAAGTATGGGTGCTCTGGAGACCCCTGAAATTTTGCCTGGCATTTAAAATGAGGTGGGGTACATCTGGCCAAGATAGAAGCATAAGTAGATACACTTTGCTTCCTTACACAACCAAAAGAAGGACAAGACAATTTACAAAATAATAAGCCCTGGCTGCTGTAGCTCAGTGGATTGAGCACAGGTCTGTGAACCAAAGGGTTTCTGGTTCAATTTCCAGTCAGGGTACATGCCTGTGTTGTTGGCCAGGTCCCTAGTAGTGGGCACATGAGAGGCAACTACACATTGATGTTTCTCTCCCTCTCTTTCTCCTTCCTTTCTCCTTTTTCTAAAGAATAAATAAAATCTTTAAAAATAATAAAAATAAATAATAACCAGAACTGCCAGAAAATTGAACAGTATGGATGTCCAACAACCAAGAAGTTAAAGAAGAAACATTCATCTAGACTGTAAGGAGAGGAAGAGATGGGCAGCCAGGGCAGAGAGGGCGCATGGCAAGGCTACATCTGGAGGACCCAGTGGTCCCACATTTGTGTGTGGATAAATAGGGAGGAATAACTTGTGAGCAAGACAGCCCTTACAAGCCAGAGTCCCAGCATGGGAAAAGAAAGCCTCAAAAATCAGTGGGGGTTGAGGAGGCAGGAGAAACTCAGCCTCACAGGAGAGTTCATTTGAGAGACGCACAGGGTTCTAGAACATACACAAGCCTGCCCACCCCCCCAGTAATCAGCACCAGAAAGGCGTAATTTGCTTGTGGGTAGTGGGAGAAGTGACTGAAAGCTGGTCGAGAGCCAAGCAAACAACACTGTTCCCTCTCAGACCCCTCCCCCATATACAGTGCCACAACACAGTGATGTGGGTTGCCCAGCCCTGGCTAATACCTAAGGCTCTCCCCCTTACTATGTAACAGGCCTTTAAAGAATATATATATATATCTCCCAAGTGAAAGAACAGATCAAAGCTCCAGAAAAAATACAACTAAGTGGTGAGGAGATAGCCAACCTATGAGATGCACAGTTCAAAACACTGGTAATCAGGGTGCTCACACACATGGTTGAGTATGGTCACAAAATAGAGGAAAAAGTGAAGGCTATACAAAGTGAAATAAAGGAAAATGTACAGGAAACCAACAGTGAGGGGGAGAAGTGGGACTCAAATCAATGATTTGGAACAAAAGGAAGAAATAAGCATTCAACTGAAACAGAATGAAAAAACAAGAATTCAAAAAAATGAGGAGAGGCTTAGGAATCTCTGGGACAACTTCAAATGTTCCAACACCCAAATGTTAGGGCTTCCAGAAGGAGAAGAGGAAGAGCAAGAAATTGAAAACTTATTTGAACAAATAGTGAAGGAAAACATCCCCAATCTGGCAAAGGAAATAGATTTCCAGGAAGTCCAGGAAGCTCAGAGAGTCTTAAAGAATTTGGACCCAAGGAGGAACACACCAGAGCACATCATAATTACATTATCCAAGATGAAAGATAAGGAGAGAATCTTAAAAGCAGCAAGAGGAAAGTATAGGGGTACCTACAAAGGAATTCCCATAGGCTATCAGCTGATTTCTCCAAAGAAACTTTGCAGGCAAGAAGGGGCTGGAAAGAAGTATTCCAAGTCATGAAAGGCAAGGACCTACATCCAAGATGACTCTATCCAGCAAAGATATCATTTAGAATGGAAGGGCAGATAAAGTGCTTCCCAGATAAAGTAATGTTAATGTTAAAGGAGTTCATCATCACCAAACCCTTGTTTTGTGAAGTGTTAAAGGGACTTATCTAAGAAAAAGAAGATGATCAAAAATATGAACAGTAAAATGATAAGAAAGTCACAACTATCAACAACTGAACCTAAAAAAATCAAAACCAAAAATGAACTAAGCAAACAATGAGAACAGGAACAGTTTAACAGAAATGGAGATCAGATGGAGGGTTATCAGTGGTGAAGGGGAGGGGGAGAATGGGGGAAAAGGTAAAGGGAATAAGAAGCATAATGGTAGGTACATAATAGGTGGTGAGGCTAAGAATAGTGTAGAAAATGGGGAAGCCAAAGGACTTATATTCATGACCCATGGACATAAATTAAGTGGGCAGCAGGAGAATGCTCTTGTGAGAGGGGATGTAGAGTGTGTGTGGGGGAATAAAGAGGAGAAAAAGTGGGACAACTGTAATGGCATAATCAATTAAAATATACTAAAATAATTTTTAAAAGAAAAAACTCAGAGACAGAGAATTTTGTAATGTTTGCCAGGAAAAAGGGAGGTGGAGGAGGATATAGAGGGATAAATGGTGATGGGCAGAGACTTTATTTGGGGTGGTGAGCACACAATACAGTGTACAGATCATGTAGAATTGTGCATCTGAAATCTATAGAATTTTGTTAACCAGTGTTACCCCAATAACTTCACTAAGAAGGCAAAAAAGAGATTAAAATGAGGGTAGACACATTCTGCTGGTTATAGAAGGATAAGCTCAATCAGCACCGAATATGACCTGTGAGCCTCTACATTCTTTCCTGATGGAAGAGTTTTTCAAGTTGAATGTGCTATGAAGGCTGTGGAAAATAGTAGTATAGATAATGGAATCAGATGTAGAGATGATGTAGTCTTTCGGGTAGAAAAATTAGTCCTTTCTAAAGTTTATGAGGAAGAATCCAACAAATGACTTTTTAGTGTTGAAGTGGCAGTAGTAGGTTTGTTGACAGATGCTCATTCATAGCAGAATTTGCAAGAAAAGATGCTTCCAACATTAGATCTAACTTTGGCTATGACATTCCACTAAAACATCTTGCAGACAAGAGTGGCCATGTACGTACATGCATATATACTCTACAGTGCTTTTAGACCTTTTCCTGCAGTTTTGTGTTTGGGTCTTACAGTGCGAATGCTGGTGCACATTTCTATATGATTGATCCATCAGGTGTTTCATGTGGTTATTGGGGCTGTGCTATTGGCAAAGCCAGGCAAGCTGCAAAGACAGGAACAGAAAAGCTTCAGATGAAAGAAATGACCTGCTGTGATGTTGTTAAACAAATAAAAATAATTAATAGTACACGATGAAGTTAAGGATAAAGCTTTTGAACTGAAGCTCAGCTGGGTTGGTGAAATAACTAAAGGAACACATGAAATTGTTTTAAAAGATATATGGGAAGAAACAGAAATATGCTAAGGAATCTTGGAAGGAAGAAGATGAGTCAGATGATGATAAGATGTAACATTTGCTTCAGCATTTATTTTTAAATTTGTAATATAGTTCCCAAACTATTTTGCCTCTTGGACTATTACATACCCACTGACCAGTTTTCATTACATTTTGTCTTGTAAAAAAATAAAGTGAATGTAGTTTTGTTGGTGACTGTGCCCTTAACCTATGGGGTCTGATACTAACTTTTAGCATCAGAATTGTATTGCCTCGAAATACAAGTCTATGTAAGGGTACCGATTGTAAAATTTGGAATCTCTTCTCCTTCAGCAGCTAAAGTAGTGTGTGTGCACTAGCTAAAGCCTTTAGAGGTGAGTTCTAAAATCTTCAGTTTTGATGATCCATTTCTTGTAGGAAACTCTGAATGTCCCAGAGTAGTTAGCTATTCATTATCATGGTATCTCCCCTGCCAGGTAGGTATAGGAGTAAGCTATTCAATAGATCCCAAATTTGTGTCCAAACCCAGAATAGTAGAGTTGTATGGTAGAAGTACTATAGAGAACTAGCTCTGGAGTTCAATTCAATTGTATTTAATTTAAATTTGCTGAGGTCTATTATGTTCCTGACATGATTAAGTAAAGCAAAAGAAAGGGGTAGTGAGATGAAGAATAGTTGCTGCTTCCAAAGAGTTTACAATGAGGTGGAAAAAATACATATGTAATCAATATAATAAAACATAAATTATCATTTAGTACTTATATGAAAACATGTAAAAGGGATGAAAACTATTGATTTTGCTCAAGTGTGAGTGAGAGGGAAAGCTTACCAGAGAAGGTGACTGTTGACTGGGCCTAAAGAATAAGTAGGAATTCACTAGACAGAGAAAGACATTCTGGGGAGAAAGAATAGCTAAGGAAAGATATAGACTTGGAAAAAGACAAGAGAGGTAGTATGGCTAAAGGGGAATCAAAGTATGATGAATCAAAGTATGATGAATCAAAGTATGATGAAAATAGTTGGAAAGAGTTAACTGTCTTAGACCTTCACACAAGGCTGAACAGTTTATCAATTGTACCCACCATAGTGCCTGGAATATAATAGGAACTTTATATTTGTTAAATAAATGCCTAAATGAATAAATGAATGAACTTTTTAAAAGCAAGACACATAGTTAAGCAGATTTCTCACTAGCTCTTCTTCCTGACCACCTGCTCACCCTGGGAAGGACAAAGAGGCCTCTCATTTCAACTCAGGCTCCATAGGAAAGAGGGTGGAGTGATTGCTGACATCTTTTGATCTTTTCTTAAAAAATATTTTGTTTATTTATTTTTAATGAGAGGGGAATGGAGGGAGAAGAAGAGGGAAAGAAACATCAATGTGTGGTTGCTTCTTGTGCGCCCCCCACTGGGGACCTGGGCCATACATAATCCAGGTATGTGCCCTGACTGGGAATTGAACTGGCAACTAACTCTGGTTTGCAGGCCAGCACTCAGTCCACTGAGCAATATCAGCCAGGGCTGACAGCCTTTAATCTTGCTTATCTGAGTTCTACTTTCTTTTGGGACTTGAGAACTCATGTAGCCAAATTTCTTATGTTGCCTGCAGAGAGAACTGATCCCAGAGGGAGCAGGCATTGCCCAAGTTCACACAGATCATTGGTGGCTGAGCTCAGATTCCTGCTCTAAGGAAAGAGCTGCTCACACAGGCTTTCTGCATTGCCCCTAAACTTGTGTTGTTTGCTTCCATTCCTCCAGAAATAATTCTATACTCTCAGTGACCTCTTTAAGTCTTCTACCCAACCATCACACAGCTCAGCTTTGACAGGTGGCATTACCTCCCTCTTAGTTTGTTAAGAACATAGATGCTGTAATGGTCCTTTCTCTTTCACCTTTCTTTCCATCTATAAGACTTTCTATGGCCAAAGCCATATATACTTCTTTTCTTTTCTCTTTTCTTTCTTTTCTTTTAGTCTCAGAGGGTAAGGTTGTCTTTCCTTCTGTGCTCTGGACCCTACTCTTGACTCTGTCCTTTCAATATCAACCCCAGGACCTCACTCTAGTCACTATCTACTTCTTTAGATAGTAGCACATTTGAGAATGTGCTCAAATTTCTCTCTCACTCAAAAAATTTCTTCTTAGACTGTACTCCCCTCCCCCCATTTACCACTGTAACCCTCCTCCATTCTCACCCAAACTTCTTTAAAGAATAGTCCACACTTGCTTCTCTTTATCACCTTCCCTTCCCTTTGTACTCATTTCCATTTGGCTTCTAATCACACTACCCCAAGGCAACTGTTCTAAATCATCCATGAACTTTATTTTGCCGAGTCCCACAAACTTAAACTTTTAAATATATTCTTATATTAGTGGATAACTCCTTAATATTTCATACTCTCAGTAAATTTCTCCTTTGGGAGCTTTCTATTTCTGTAGTATCTTTTGTTTCCATAGTATCAGATCCATCTGATTATTCCAGCTCTTTGATCATTTCCTTATCTCTTTCCAGGGATATTCTTTCTCTAACTACCCCTTAAAGGTTGGTGTCTTTACAGTTCCACCCTAAGTATCTCTTCTTCATATCTAACATAATACTTCTGTGATTTCAACAACTTTCATGGTGTTAGCTTCCCCCATTGAGTGGAGAACCACCTCTAGTCCCAAATGCAAATATTGGCTCAATTCATCCACTTCTAGATGAATATTTACAACTGAATATTCATTCAGGCATCTTATATTGCACCTTACACTCAATCTTGAAACACTGAAACTTATTTCTCTAAGTAGTTTATGATTTCTTTAGGGCAGAAATTTATGATTTCTCATAGGGCAGATTTCTTTTTCATTTATATCTTCCTAGCTTATTACATAATAGGACCTCACTGTATTGTTGACTAGTGATGGAACTGACTGACTGAATGAATGTTTCACAAATCTAACCCCAACTCTCAGGTAAAAAAAAAAAAATATATATATATATATATATATATATATATATATATATATATATATATATATACACACACACACACACACACCTTTTTCGTTCAGGTTTCTGGCCTGCGTCCTTTTGGGCTACATTCAAACCTAAGATGGCGACATCCAGGTTCTCTCTCTAGCCAGCCAAGTTCTCTGACTTGATTTCTCAGGAAATAAGATTTCTCATCTCTCTCATGGGACACTGCTTCTCTCTAATAGAGAATAATAAGAGGCTTCATTTTTGCCCTGCCTTCTTTGAACTCTAAGGTAACAGCTGAGCTAGGCTCCGAGTCAGCAATCCCAATATTCTTGTCCCCTGGTGGCCTCTTACTCTGAGTCTTTCTCCAGGCTGCCAGACCCCCTAAGTGGGCCCTTACCTTGAAGAAGAGAGATAGCCAGGATGAGGCCAGCCAAATGCTTCCCCTGCTCCATGTTAGTCTCTGTTCTTCTCTCACTGATAGAAGTACTGAGCAGCCTCTATCACCAGCCAGCCAGCCAGCCAGCAAAATAGCTAGCCTGGCTCCGCCCAGCATTCTTAAGGCTGGGGCCCCAGCAGGAAGGCCAGAACTAAGTCTCCACCCTCGGTTTCAAGTGTGGGCAGCTGGAGCCTCAGCAGGGCTGCAGGTGCAGATGCCTCTTGCTTTTCCTTTAAGGACTGAAGTGTGTGAGGTGGTGAGGAGGGAGAGGGAGAGAATGCTGGATTCCCATCTCAGAGACTTTGGCTTGCATTGAGAACAACCTTGGATGCTGGGTAGTAAATGATGTGGGTTCCTTTCTTCATGAAGGAGATAAATGTCTCTGCCACCACTTGTTGCCAGTATCTCAGCCAGTTGGTGCTTGTTGCTAGTTTTTGCTAGAACTAAAAAATTTATGTAAGATTGCTCAGGTGCTCAGGGATGGAGCTCTGAGAAGAAAGCCACCTCAGGAATTTTTTTCTACTGTCTTTTTGAGATGAAAACATCAAAGAAGTGACTGCCTGGAAAAAAATAGGTAGACATTTCCATCAAGACAGGCCAGAGATATGGAAGCAGAAACAAGATGGAGGTATAAGTAGATATGCTTTTGAAAAAAAAAAAGGTAACAACAAATTAAATTAAAAAATGAAAGAACCAGAACTGCCAGAAAATCAAACTATATGGAAGTCTGACACCAAGGAGTTAAAGAAGAAACATTTATCTAGATGGGTAGGAGGTGTGGAGATGGGAAGCTGGATGGAGAGCCCATGTGACAAGGTGGCAGCTAGCAGACTGGGAGTATGAGGCAGTGGCTGGCAGACTGGGATATTCCATATTTATGTGCAGATAAGCCAGAGGAACAACTGGGGAATGAGACAGACTGCCAAACCAGGATTCCAGCATGGGAAAATAAAGCCTGAAAACCTCTGGCTGTAAAAATATGTGGAGATTGCAGTGGCAGGAGAAACTCCCAGTCTCACAGGAGAGTCTGTTGGAGGGGCCCATCATAGAGCCTAGATCACACACAAGCCCACTCACCTGGGAACCAGCACCTGAAACGGCACAACGTGCTTGAATGAAGTCAGGGAAGTGACTGAAAGGAGGGCAAGAGCCAAGAAAGCTGCATTGTTCCCTTTCTGACCCCTCCCCCACATACAATGTCACAATGCAGTGAAGTGAGTGGCCCTGCCCTGGTGAGTACCTAAGGTCCCTCCCCTCACTGTGTAACAGCTGCTCTGAGACAAAGAAATATGGCCCAAATGAAAGAACAGATCGAAGCTCCAGAAAAAGAACAAAGTGACAGACACAGAGTTCAAAACACTAGTAATCAGGATACTCTTGGAAATGATTGAGTACTGTCACAAAATAAAGGAAGAAATTAAGGCTATTCAAAGAGAAATAAAGCAAAATGTACAGGGAACCAACAGTGGAGGGAAGAAAACCAAGACTCAAATCAACAGTTTGGAACAAAAAGAAGAAATAAACATCCAATTGGGACAAAATGAAGAAATAAAGAATTCAAAAAGCTGAGAGGCTTTGGAACCTCTGGGACAACTTTAAATGTTCCAACATTTAAATCAGAGGTGCCAGAAGGAGAAGAGGCAGAGCAAGAAATTGAAAACTTATTTGAACAAATAATGAAGGAGAACTTCCCTAATCCGGCAAAAGAAATAGACTTCCAGGAAGTCCAGGAAGCTCAGAGAGTCCTAAATAAGTTGGACTCAAGGAGGAACATACCAAGACACATTATAATTACATTATACAGGATGAAAGATAAGGAGAGAATCTTAAAAGCAGCAAGAGGAAAGTATAGAGGCACCTACAAAGGAATTCCCATAGGCTATCAGTTGATTTCTCCAAAGAAACCTTGCAGTCAAGAGGGGCTGGAAAGTAGTATTAAAAGTCATGAAGGGCAAGGGCCTATATTTAACATTAGTCTATTCAGCAAAGCTATCATTTAGAATGGAAGGGCAGGTAAAGTGCTTCCCAGATAAGGTGAAAGAAGGAGTTCACTATCACCAAGCCTTTATTCTGTGAAATGTTAAAGGGACTTATCTAGGGAAAAAAAGTTGGTAAAAAATACGAACAGTAAAGTGACAAGAAACACAACTATCCCCAACTGAACCTAAAAAAACAAAAACAAAAACAAACTAAGCAAACAACTAGAAAAGGAACAAAATCACAGAAATGGAGGGTTATCAGTGGAGGGGAGGAGAATGGGGGAAAGGTACAGGGAATAAGAAGCATAATTGGTAGGGATAAAATAGACAGAGGGAGGTTAAGAATAGTATAAGAAATGGAGAACTTACATGTATGACCCAGGACATGAACCAAGGGGAAGGATATGCTGGTGGGAAGAGGGGTTCAGGGCAGAGGAGGATAAAAGGGAGAAAAAAATGGGTCAACTGTAATAATATAATCAATAAAATATACCTTAAAAAAAAGACAGGCCATACATTTTCAGGATCTCAGGCCTTGTATCTCTTAGCCAGTCAGTCAGTGAATCAATAAAAATGTATGGAGCTCTTGTTATGTGCCAGGCACAAGCCAAGAGTGTTGAAAATATAGAAATGAGTGAGACATACATGATCTCTGCCATCAGGTAATTACAGTCCAACTACAGCAGTGTAGAGAGTTTCAGATCCCTATTGGCTACAGAGGGAAAATGTCCATTTGTCTCCTGGGAAGGCTCAAGTCTGCCTACAAGTTAATCATATTGTTATTGATAACTAACTCTCACTGAGTACACATAATGCATCAGGCATCAAGCATTTTGTTCATTATTATTATGATTAAAGAGTACCTTAGAGCACATCAAGAGCAAATGAGATGAAACAGAAAATTAAATCAAGATTTTGGAGAGAAGGTAGCAGAGAATACCTAATCAGAATGGCAAAAAGAAAATGATAATTTTTCAAGATAAGATAGTTTATGAGACATAAAACATAACACCATTTGCATCATAGGGGTACCAGAAAGAGGAGAAAAACAGCAAGGGACTGAAAACCTATTTCAAAAAATAATGCTGATAAACTTCTCTAACCTGGTGAAGGAAATAAACATGCAAGCCCACAAAGCATAGAGAATACCAAACAAGATGGACCCAAAGAGGCCCACACCAAGACACATAGTAATTAAAATGCCAAAGGTTAAAGATAAAGAGAGAATCTTAAAAGCAACAAGAGAAGAGAAGTTAGTTACCTACAAGGGAACAACCATAAGACCGTCAGCTGATTTCTCAAAAGAAACTTTGAAGGTTATAACAGATTGACAAGAAATGTTCAAGGTCATAAAAAGCAGGGACCTACATACAAGATTGTTCTATTCAGCATGGCTATCATTTAGAATCTAAGGGGAGATAAAAAGTTCCTCAAACAAGAAAAAACTGAAGGAGTTCATCATCACCAAACCATTATTACAGGAAATGTTAAAGGGACTTATTAAGAAAAAGAAGATCAAAACTATGAACAATAAAATGGCAATAAATACATATGTACCAACAATTGCACCTAAAAAGAAACTAAGCAAACAAGAAGAAAAGGGACAGAATAATGGATATGGAGAGCATTTTGATGGTTGCCAGATGGGAGGGGAGTGTGAGGGAATGGGCAAAGAGGTGAGGCAATTAAGAAGTACAAAAAGGTCATCACAGAATAACCATGGGAATGTAAAGTACAATATAGGAAATGGAGTAGCCAAAGAACTTATATGCATGACACATGAACATGAACAATGGTCAGGGGATTGCCTGAGGGAGTGGGAGGTGCTGGGTGGAGGGAAGCAAAGGGGAAAAATCGGACAACTGTAATAGCATAATCGATAAAATATAATTAAATATATAATAAACATACACTTGGAAAAAAATAATAATGAAAAACTTCCCTAATTGGTGAAGAAAATAGACATACAAATCCAGGAAGTGCAGAGATTTCCAAACAAGATTAACCCAAAGAGGCCCACACAAAGACACTTCATAATTAAAATGTCAAAGGTTAAAGACAAAGAGAGAATCTTAAAAGCAGCAAGAGAAAAGGAGCTATATGATTGGCAGCCAATTTCTCAACAGAAACTTTGCAGGCCACAGGGACTAGCATAAAATATGCTAAAATATTTTCAAAGTGATGAAAGCAAGGGTCTACCCAGCAATGCTATCATTTAGAATTGAAGGATAGATAAAAGAACTTAGGAAAAAAAATGAAGGAGTTCATCACCACCAAACTAGTATTACAAGAAATGTTGAAGGGACCCTTTAAGAAGAAGAAGAAAATAAAAAATATGAATAAGTAAATATTGCAAAGAAAAAAAGCTCACTGAAAAGGCAGACATATGACAAAAGCAGTGAATCAACCAACACTAGAGCAAATACAAAGGCTAAAAGGCAAAATTAGGAAGATCACGTGTAATTACAATGGTAAATTAAGAGACACACACGAACACACAAAAGAAACAATAATGGTAAAAACATAAATGTGGAGAAAGTGAATAAAAATGGTAGTGGGCCCTGGCTGGCATAGCTCAGTGGATTGAGCGTGGGCCTGCGAACCAGAGTATCACGGTTCGATTCCCAGTCAGGGCACATGCCTGGGTTGCAGGCCAGTTCCCAGCAGGGGACGCATGAGAGGCAACCGTACATTAATATTTCTCTCCCACTCTTTCTCCTTCCCTTCCCCTCTCTCAAAAAATAAATAAATAAAATATTTAAAAAAATTGGTAGTGATTTTAGAATGTGTTTGAACTTCAGCAATCAACTTAAAATGGACTTCTATAAACGTAGTTTGGTATATATGAAGCATGCGGAGACCACAAACCAAACAGAAATACAAAAAATAGAGGAATCCAAACACAATGCTATAGAGAGTCATCAACATACGAGAGAGCAAGAGAATAGGAACAGAGAGGAACTATAAAAACAATCAGAAATCGATTGATAAGAAGGCAATAACTACAGATCATAAAAAAAGAATAAAATCTTACCATTTACAACATGGATGGTCCAAGAGGGCATTGTGCTGGGTAAATGAGTCATACAGAGGACAGATGCTGGTTGATTTTACTTATGTAGAATCTTAAAAGCAGATTAAATAAACAAACAAAATAGAAACAAACTGATGGTTGCCAGATAGGAGGGGGGTTGGGGGGCTGGGTGAAAAAGGTGAAGGGATTAAGAAGTACAAATTGGTAGTTACAAAATAGTCATGGGGATGTAAAGTACAGCATGGGGAATATAGTCAATAATATTCTAATAACTATATATGGTGTTAGGTGGGTGCAAGACTTACTAGGGAGGGGAGATCATTTTGTAAGTTATACAAATGTCTGACTACTATTCTGTACACCTGAAACTAATATGATATTGAATTTTAATTGTAATTAAAAAATAAAATTAGGCAAAAGAACTTAAACCTTATCATGATAGTGAGGGAATTAGATTCTGAAAAATTCCATGACTGGCCCCAGCCCATTGGGTAGACAGTAGTGTTGGAGCTAGAATTCAAATCTCTGGCTGGTGGGGCTTTAGAGCCCAACCTCCCTCTGGTAAATACTACTTAGTTTGTTGTCCCAAGCTGCTCAAGGAGGCCAGGGTCCCAAGAATGACCAGTAGTGGGAGCGACTTAGCTGGTATGGGATGGGGCTCACAGCTTCTTTCAAGTTTTGAGAGGTGGAAGTTTTTATGTGGTAAGTGTAGTTGTTCACAGAAACTCTGACATTTTTGTTTTTCATCAGTGACTCAGGAAGGGACCATTTTAAATCTCCTTTTACTTCCCAGAACTCTAGGCAACCTTTTCCATCTTCTCTGCTCTTCCTTTCATTCCAACCCAAGCTCCCCGCTCAGGAAGAGCATTTTGCACTTGCTTCCTTCCTACTCCACCCACAGCCTACTGTACCCTGACAGTCTTCCTTCATCAATGGCAGAGAGCAGAGAAATAGGAGTCTTCTGGTTCCTCCCCCACCCTCTCCTTTTTCCGGTACTGTGAGTCGGTTGGGGGAGAGCAGCTCTCAAGCTGGCTAATAGTTCTGTGACCTGGGTGTGTCTACTACATGACTTCTGGAAGATGGAACACGCCAGGTTTCTGGCTGGTTTGATACTGGCTGCCCTCCTCTCCCAAGGTAAAGCTTCTCTAGGTGGGTGGAAGCATCTTGGAGAGAGAATCTGAGAGGGCCTCACCCCTGGGAGTGAGGTCCACTTGAAAGTTCTCAGTGCTAGCTTCAGTTCACTAGGCAGGGTTGTTAGGGTGGGCAGGGTTGGGATGTAGTGACAGATATAGGAAGCAGTCTCTTGGCTTTGACAGATTCCAGTTAGGGCTACATCTTGGCTTCAGTATCTCTCTGAATGCCTTAAGCCAGAGATCCATAGGAGATGTTACCAGTATCTGTGTGCCTGAGATTAGGGCTGACATTGGGACTACTGTTCTTTTAGGGTAGATAGCCTCTGGGATTCAGGACTCTTGGTCATTAGGTCATCATTATGTCACTTCATGGAGCCATGCCGAGCACTCAGGGGAATGCTTTAAGAGAAAAGCTAACTTTAGGTTGAGCATAAGGGAGGGCAGATTTGAGGTAGGAGAATGACTAGCTCATTTATGTTTGCCTGGTTTTAAAACTGATAGTCCTGTGTCTCAGGAACCCCTTCAATCCCAGGCAAACAGGGATGAATGGTTACTCTAGGAGTCAATTGCTTTGGGACGTTCAGCATTTGCATTGGAAACAGATTCCCAAGGAAGACATGAGTATCTGATGTACTTGTGTCTCTCTGAGTATACACACCTATATTTCTGACCTGCTTCAGAGGCATTGCAGTTTTCTAGAAGATGCTGTTGTATCCAAACTGGTGACTGAGTATAAAGCTCAGGGAGAATATAGATTCCACAGTGCCTCTGGAATGTGGAGATGCTGTCCAAAAAAGCAATTCAGTGGATCTAGAATGGTGCCCTTAAACTCCCCACAGGACTTGATTTTGTGGAGCCTCAAGAATAGATTTGAAATATATATATTTCATAGTATAGGAAATGTAGAAGCCAAAGAACTTATATGTACAACCCATGGACATGAACTAAAGGGGGGGGGAATGCAGGTGGGAGGGGGTGTGCAGGGCAGAAGGGAATAAGGGGGTGGTGGGAATGGGACAACTGTAATAGCATAATCAAAATATATTAAAATATTTTTTCTATCCCCATCCCCTTAAGCTAGGGTAGAACAACTAAAAATGTTTACATGCTATTTTCCTTGGGTCTCCTTCTGGACCACTCATTAGGCTGGTAATTCATTCTAACTTCTCTCATACTCCCAACCATTATTGGCCTTTGGTAGTTGTTGGAAAGTGGACCTTCTTAAGCATGAGCCTCAGAAGACCCTCTTTGGGGCAGTCCAAAGAGGTGGCTACAATAGTGGGTTTTCCATCCCCCCACAGTGAGCCCTGGGCAGAAAGTCGTGGAGGAACTTGAGGACAAAGTGATTTTGAATTGTAATAACAGCATCACATGGCTGAGCGGAACGAGGGGGAAATCGTTCTCAGACAATAAAATTCTGGACTTGGGAAAACGCATCCTGGACCCACGAGGATTGTATGAGTGCAATGTGACGCTTGAAAACAGCTTCAAAACATATACTGTGCAAGTATATTATCGAAGTATGTGCCTCCTAAACCTTTGGGTGGGAATGGATGGGTCCTCTGGATTTCAGAACTTTCTTGCTTGTGGGAGCTGTAGTGGACCAATCTATTTTCTAAACCAACTGGGGTCACTCTTATAATGATATGAGCAGATTTTGGGGCCGTCAGAGTTGAAGAGAGCTTAACTGATTTAGAAAGAGCAGTAGGGGCCTTGTTGGAAGAGGGATTTGGCCTTGCCTTGTTGAATTTTCTGCAAAGCTGAGACTACTTCTTGGCTCTACCGAGGGATTTGTTGGGATGAAGAGTAAGCCTTTCTCCAAGGATCCTAAGTTCAGGTCTTGGCTTGAGAAGTCTTGGGGCTGCCCTGGGAGGCAGGGATGGTTTACTGATCTTGAAGATACTCCACCTCATCTCTTGTCTCCCTCCCTCAGTGTGCCAGAACTGTGTGGAGCTGGACTCAGCTACCCTGGCAGGCATAATTGTCACTGATGTCATTGCCACCCTGCTCCTTGCTTTGGGAGTCTACTGCTTTGCTGGACATGAGACTGGAAGGCTCTCTAGGAGTAAGTGGAAGGGACAGAGCATGTGTGTGTGTGTGTGTGTGTGTTGTGGGGTGGATGTGAGTATGCACCTACTAACGAACAGGGCTAGAGTGGGTTGTATCTCATGTGGGACTCACTCTTGACATCTCATAAGGATTTTTACAACTGATTATTGAAAGAACTCATGCACCCATATTGCTCGTGCAGACTTCTGAGGGTGTGACCAGATGCATTTTCCCTGTAGTATTCATGGGATCTCATTGTCTCATCCTCCTATGACCCTTTATAACTCTGTTTCCCTGGTTCTTCTAGCTGCTGACACTCAAGCTCTATGGAGGAATGACCAACTCTATCAGGTGAGTCCTGAGGAGAAAAGATGAGAATGGAAGGAAGGAATTAGTGGGGAAGGAGAAATTGGCACTAGGTGTGTGAAGAGTCTTAGTGGGGAATTCACTAGGGGTAGGGTCTGGAAAGGCCAGGGACCTGCTGGAGGTCTTCCCTAGGAGAGTCCTGACTCTGCCCCCTTCTTATCTCTTAGCCTCTCAGAGATCGGAACGATGCTCAGTACAGTCGTCTTGGTGAAAACTGGCCTCGGAACAAGTAAACCCAAGACTGATGGCTTATGGAACATCAGTTACCAACTGTACCATCTCTCCTTTTCAGCCAATAAAGATGTCTTCTCCCACTCAGCAGGCGCCTGGACTTTTCAAGGCTTTGGGGCAAGGCATAGGATGTATCTTGATTTGGGAGGGCTCTTGCCTCTCTGCCTACTTGTGCTCTTAATTCATTGCTTCTCTTCCTCTGCCCCACAAGGACAGTGGGATGGGCAGTCTCTCACTACATCCTGGCTCACTGGTGTTTCTAACCTGGTGGATTCCCTGGGTGCAGAATATGCCCCACCATACTCCCCCGGCTACTTGTTGCCTCCAGTCAGGCCCTATCACAACCCTTTCTGAGTGTTGGCTTCCTTACCACAGCTGAGGGCGGCTGTGGTGTTCAGGGACCCAGCCACACGGAACTTTCCATGACATCATGAGTGCAGGTGGCAGAGACATTAAGAGCCCTGGGACTAACTTCTTATCAAGAGATGCTTGTATGAGAAAGTCCCCCTCTTGCTAAGGGGCTGGCTTTGGCTTTTTGACTTCTGTGAAGCCACTAGCTGCGGGGAGGTCCCAGCCTAGGCCCCTTAAGTACCATTTGTCTACCTTTCTGCAGAACCTGCCCCACCCCTGCTTTTTGCATGGGTGATAACCTAGCATCAGAAAACTTTCACCAATTAAAACACATCATTCCTCTCTACTCACTTGGAAAGCTGGAGTTTGAGACTGGGTTGGGGCTTAGGATATTTTCAGTAGATGTCGTCTTCAGCTGGTGGGTTAGTTTTGGTTCTGAAACTCTGGGAGCCTGAGGGACTTATTAAGAATGCAGACACTTGGACCCCATTCCAGGAAATGTAGTCCCTAGGTGATTCTGAAACAATCCCAATTCAGAGAATCTCTGGTTTAGAGGAAGAACTGAGACCACTTACTGTCTTGTATCCTTTATGCCTGTTCTGTCTATGGTAGGTGGGAACCCCTCTTTTTATTCTCTGAGTAAGAGTAATTTAATGAACTTCAGGAACATTTAATGAGATTGGGCATTTTCTAGACCAAGTTCCCCCCCCCTTTTTTTGTGGAAAGCTTTAACTATAAATTCAATTTATTTAATAGTTATAGAGCTATCTAGGTTATCTATTTCATATTTAGTGAGTAGAGCGCTTTCTGTTTTGTCTTCAAATTCTACCCATCCTTCCCTTTAAGGCCCAGATCAAGTATCTCCTCACCCATGTTGCTTTCCCAACCCCTTCAGCTCTCTCAGTTCCTTCTCAAAACACCTATAACACTGTCTGTAGCACTCATGGGTGCATAATCACATGTGTTCTTCTGTTGTTTAACTTTCTGCATGCTCTGGCACTGTTATACAACTGCCAGTTCCTGGAAGACTGAAACCGTTTATTCGTATCACCTGAGCACTTAGCACAGTGCTGGTCTGCCACACGAGTGATTAGAAAAGCACTCATTGAAAGAATACCTAAACAATTACATACAGAGCTCTTAAGTCAGGAAAATGGAGAGAGTTATTTATCATCACAGTTGGTCCTGGGAAACTGTTCATTGGAGTTGGATAATACTGGCTTCTAATTCCAGCTCTGTTCTTCCCTAGCTATACATCTTTACAGGCAAATGGCATTACCTCTCTGACCCCCTGTATCTTCATCTTGTAAAACAAGGGCAACAACATATACCCTGTCAAGTTGTCATAAGGATTAATTGAGATAGTGCATGTAAAGTGCTAAGCATAATTTCTGGAGCATAGCAAATTCTCACTAAATATTAGCTATTGTTGCTTTTATCACCCTGAGCCACACCTTCCTTTGACCAGGCATCCTCAAATATACCTGGGCCAAAACTTCCACCCCTGGGCCAGCCTGATTAGTAGCTAGTGAAGGTCAACATCATGGAGACTCCTTGTGAGCATAAGCATTGAGTGCTTACAGGAAAAGAAGCAGTGTTTCAACAGGTATCATCCAATAGAAACTGTAGCCACAAGCCCAAGGCTGAGTGTATGTGGAGGGCTGCTTTTTCAGTCCTGGTGACACACATAAATAGCTCTGTGTTCAGCAGGGAGGTTTCTGAGTGCAGATGGGAGAGAAGAGCGCCTGCTGGCTTGAGCTGGACTAAGACAGATCCTCAGTGCTCTGGACGCCTCTCTGTAAATTGGGCGTGTGCCCTAGAAGACTGAGGAAGAAGCCCTCCCGCATTGGCCTTTGGCTGCTGCTGCTGTATCTCTCTTGCCTCGCTCCACCCACAGCCCACATCCGGGCTACTAAACCGCAGCTGCTTCTGGCTGCAGGCTGCTGCCTCTTATAGCGGAGGGAGTGGTGCCTGCTTGATGTCACCTCCTTCCCCTATTTCCCCTAGCCCCAGCTCTGCAGCTCTTTCTTTTCTTCCCTTTTCTCCTTTTCTTTATATGACAAACATTCTTCATTTATGAAAACTTCTACCAAAATTGTAATAGAAATTTAACTGTTCATTTACAATAAAGTTTATCCTATAAAAAACAGTTTTTAGTGCATAATCAATAAAATACACTTAAATATAAAAAAAGTTTTAGCCCTGGCTAGTGTAGCTCAGTGGATTGAGCACGGGCCTGTGAAGCAAAGGATCGCCGGTTCGATTCCCAGTCAGGGAACATGCCCGGGTTGCAGGCCAGGTCCCCAGTAGGGGACACATGAGAGGCGACCACACATTGATGTTTCTCTCCCACTCTTTCTCCCTCCCTTACCCTCTCTCTAAAAAATAAATATGTAAAATATTTTTAAAAGTTTTTATAATTGTTTTCTGGATAACTTTTTATAATTAAAAATACTTTTTGATATCAAACTGATTGTATTAAAGATTTTTTATTGGTAAAATTCAACATATTTATTTAAATTATTTTATTGTTGTTCAGTTACAGTTGTCTGCATCTCATCCCTCCACTCTCCCTAACCCCAGCCAAACCCACCTCCCTTTCTTGCTTCCACTCTCTCCCTTGGTTTTGTCCATGTGTCATTTATAGTAGTTTTTGAAAAACCTTCCCCCCATTATCTCCTCCTACATCCTCTCTGGTTACTGTCAGATTGTTATTGTCTTATTTTCAGTGTCTCTGGCTATATGATCTCACTTTTAACTGGAACATAATCAACAAAAGAAAAAAGCAAGCAAAGTATTAAAGACTTTTTTCTTTTACATTTTGAAGTTGGAATAGAAGTGTGCCTAGTTCTCTTCATCAGCTATGAAAGCCATTGCTGAGACAGAAGGTGTGAATCACATCTTGATTAGTCCTATCAGGGAAGGTGTTTATAGCAGTGTACATCACCCCAAATCATGATTACTCATGCTGCTGTCTACTTGGTATCAAACTGTATATAGCTGTTTCTTCACATTCACTCAACATTAAGCCCCTATGATTGCCGGGCTCTGTTCTAGGCAGTAGGAATGCAGTTATGAAAATAAGACAGACACAATATCTGACCTCAGTGATTTTTTTTTTAGATCTTACTAGGAACTAGGCCCTGGTAACCAGTTTACCTGGATTAATTGATTTAATCTTTTCAGCATATCTAATGTTCAGATGATGGAAGAGAGGCACTAAGAGATTAAGTGATGTGCCTAAAGTCACCTGGCTGGTGGTACAGCTTGTGGAAATTTATGTCCTGGCCTTCAGCCCTTTTGTACTTCTACTCTTCTCAGTGGCTGCCCTCATCTGCCTTTTAAGACCCCTGTTTCAGTCTCATCCATTGAGTCCACACTGGTCCCTGAACTGACCACGTTGTCAGGGACACATCAGTCTCAACCACCCTTGATGTTTTTCTTCAAGAGAAGTTAGTCAAATAACTAATTATTCTCTCTCTTTCTTTTTAAAAAGATTTTATTTATTTATCTTTAGAAGGGAAAGGGAAGGAGAGAGGGAGAGAAATATCAATGTATGGTTGCCTCTTGTGCATCCCCCACTGGAAACTGGCTTGCAACCCAGGCATGTGCCCTGACTGGGAATCAAACCACGACCCTTTAGTTCATGGGCCCACACTCAATCCACTGAGCTACACTAGCCAGGGCTCTTTCTCTCTTTCAATTATTCCCTAATATCCTCCTCTCTAAAGAGAGCTTCTGATAATGCCTTACCCACTGTGAAAACAGGTAGTCCTTGCCTTTGGGATCACAGCTGAGAATTTAGTCAAAGGTAGGGAGGATTGGAGTTGTTTCAGAAAACAAGGTAGCCTCTAAGGGCTTCCCAGAGAAGAGGGACAGCAATTCTTTTAGCCACACACTTTATTTCTTTTCTCTCCCAGCTGACAAGGAGCCTAGCACACTTATGGAGATGGAAATGACCACCCAGGGGCCTACAGGGCAGACAGGGGAGAGAAAACAAAGAGCTGGCTCTGGGCCAATGTTTGTGATGGGCTCAAGACCTCTGCCAACATTCACCCAGCAGTGCATTCCCACAGAGGGTCGATAGAGAGCTGGAACAGTAGAAAGGTAAATGGAACAGTTAGGGTTGGGGGCAACTTTTAGGCAGGAAAAGGAAGGCACCGAAGGGAGAAGTAACATTCACCAGGGGAGAAAGGAATTGGCAGTGGCAGTGAGTAGCAGAAATAAATATCCTGACAAGAGTGTAGGCCAGGTGTGAGGGGGTGTGTAGCGATGATATTTCAAAGAACAATGAAGCAGCAATACCCTAGGACTAGGATCCAGCGAGGAAGACTGAAAAGAGGGAGGGGACAAGGCTGCAGGTGTGAGTTAGTTCTACACTAGGCAGAGGGACAGTTTTCCTGTGGAGTCCAAGACTTGTCCAGGAAATGGAGTAGCAGGGTGCCTGGGGATGAAGGAGCCAAGCCTGGGCCAAATGGGTGATGCGGTGTCCTCAGGAGCTGTCAGGTGCCTCTCTGATTCAGTCCAGAATACAGATCCCGTTGGCCTTTCCGGATGGGCTAGAGGTGAATAGAGGGGGTGGTCAGCAGGATGGAAGGAAGTAGTTCCTAAGACAGATGGGACTCCAGCCATCTAGGTTTAGTGCAGTGGAAAGAACTGTGGACTAGGAGTCAGGAGGCAGGCTGGAACTCTAACTTGGCATTGACTGGTAAAAGACTTGATCTGGTCGCCTCCTG